GGCCCCCCCCCCCCCCCCCCCGCCGCGGGCGAGGCCGCCGGTGCTGGCGCCGCCGACAGCCTTCTGCGCTACCGGTGCAATTCGAACCTGGCCCCCGTCCTGGACGTCTTCCGGCAGCCGGGCGACTTCACCGACTACTACGGGCGGTCGTTTGGGAACACGTCGCAGCAGGTGGTGCGCGCGGCGGTGCCCTTCATCAGCGCCCAGCAGGGCCGGGGCGTGTCGGCGTGCGCCAAGCACTTCCCCGGCCTGGGGGCGGCCTCGCACGACGCCAACACGGACGAGGAGCCCGTCGTGCTGAACCTGACGCTCTCGGAGGTGCGCGCCGTCGACCAGGCGCCGTACAAGGCGGCCATCGCGGCCGACGTCGACATGGTCATGGCCTCGTGGGCCGTGTATCCCGCCCTGGATCACCGGCCGGCCGGCCTGAGTGCCAAGTGGATCAAGGGCGAGCTCCGTGTCGGGCTGGGCTTCGAGGGCGTCACCATTACCGACGCCCTCGAGGCCGGCTCTCTTGCTGCCTATGGCGACGCCGGCGCCAGGGGCACCGCTGCCGCCGCCGCCGGCATGGACATGTTGCTGGCGAGCGGGAAGAACGTGACGCAGGGAGAGGCCGTGAGGACGGCGCTCGTGCAGGCCCTGAAGAAGGGCGAGCTGGACAGAGCCGAGTTTGACGCTGCCACGGCGCGCATCGCCGCCCTCAGGAGCAGGATTGCAGCGTAAGGTGGTGCGTGGTGTGACATGGCAGTGGTGATGATGGATGTATCCTCCGTACCACGGCCATGACAGAAAAACTCTTGTCCCTCGACGTGTATCATTTGCCACACAAGATAGTTTCCAATGGCAGTTTTTTCTTCATTTGCTCCTCAACCAAGAAGATAATTAACGAATGCATTTCCCACCAAGAGTGTATTGTGGCCCTGCTTTAACCCCGTCTCTCAGCGCCGTCCGTGAAACCTCCTCCCCCCCCCTTGCGCGCCTCGCCTCTCCTCAGCCTGAACCCTTCCAGAATGACATGCTTGTGGCTCCTCTTGGTAAAGGGGATCCTCTTGCCCGCGACCTCCTCGCGCACAACCTCCTCCTCGGTCGCCCACGCAAAGTCCTGGTGCTCGTTGGGATCCAGCCTCACCGCCTGGCCCTCGGGCACCTCCACCTCGAACTGGAACTTGCCAATCAACTTGGACCGCGTGCTGTTCCTAAACTCCTGGAACGCGTCCGCCCCAGGACCCTCGGTGACGAGACGGGCCATCCGCCGCGCCGCCACGCCCGCCTCCTCCCAGAGCTCCCTGGCGCAGCCGTGCAGGATGGAGGCGTCGTCGTCGTCGACCGCGCCCCCCGGCACCTCCCACAGGTCCGGCATGGAGTCGTGACTCGTGCGCTGGACGAGGAGGATGCGGCCGCGGGCGTCGAACACCAGGGCGCCCGTGGCGACGCCGTCCCACGGCTTGTTGTTCGCCCGGATCCAGCTTTTGACGGGGACGTTGAACTGCGCCAGGGACGGGTCGTGTGAGAAGTGGAATGGCGGTGGTCTGGCCGCCGTGTCGTCCTCCCTTGCGCCTGTGCTCTCCATGGCTTATTTATCGATGGTCAATTGCTGCTGCGACGAAACGCGCTATGAGTCGCATTCGAGGTCTGAAGGAAACGGGGCCAGTAGCTAGATGGGATGTTTATGTTTCTTCTTCTTTCCCTTTTTCAAAGTATTTCAGTGCTCGGCAGCCTAAAGTGTCCGGGGTGGCGTTGAGTCGATGGAGCCTTGCGTCGTGCCAAACGACCGAAATTACCTGCCCTGTTTGCGAGTGACGAACAAAAACACCAAGGTTTGGCTCAGTTGGAGCTTGGATAACGGGCCCCGTTATGAGTCACGCCTGGTGGGTCCTGCCTTGAAGCGCCTGTTCTCGACAGACCAGTTGTCGCAATATAGCTCAAATTGACGCCAGGCTCATCTTTGAGGGTGACTGCTCATCGTCAGGCCGCGCGACACGAGACTTGATAATCTGAGCGCCGACTGCGGGAGACGCCGGCCAGATTTTCATACACCCCATAGCTGTACACGCAAAGCATACTTCCCCCGTGTTATATTCGTTCCGCTTTCTTATTTACATACATTATACGAACCCATTACGCGTAAATGTTCAAGTATAAGCCCACTCGAGGGGGATGCAAAAACACAAATGCCCAAAAAAAAAAAGAAAAAGAAAAAAATCCTCTGCTATAGGAGCTTTATCGCATGACCTGCTTCTCGCTGACTTTATAAGTTTGGTTTGTTGCAACATGTAGTCCGCCAGATAAATTCCCCCTTCGCCGCTTAGCTGGGCATGCCACCTAACCATTCATTGTCATCTACGTAATTCCCGCCAAACAAGGTAATAGCTTTCATGTATTTGTACAGCGAAGTCACTGTTATGTCATGAGAGTCATGAAGAATGTGAACGCACTCACCGGCTGCCGCTGTCTCTGGATGTTGCCTTGCAGCATGCCCCGGCAAACACACAAATCACCCGAACGCCGAACTGGGCCAAAAAAAAAAAAATAGAATAAAAAAGACATGACAAAAAAGTGGAATCACTTTATATACGCAAAAGACGCGGCGTACGATTAGAAAGCTCGTGTCTAGTCATGAGCGTTGCGCGATAGATTGATCGATTCGGCCAAGATGAAAAATCAAGACAGGTATAAAAAAAAAGGCTTCCTCAGAGACATCTGGCAAGCCATGAATTTCCAGATTGGTACGTCTCATAATGTCACCGGCATGGATCGCGTCACGGACTTTTCTGCCCTCATTCGCAAGTGGTTCGCGTATGTTTCCAGCCCATGAGCCGCTATATGAGCCACAGGCCAGACGGCGGATTTGTTGACCATCCATGCTGCGAGACGAAGGATTTGGGACGCATAGCCGGTAAACCCATCCGGTGATAAAACAGACTCGTGTCCACTGATCGTGCCTGTGGCATTCGGTCCTAGCCTCATGTTGATTTTCAACTCGGCGGTCGACAAGATGTCTCCGACCTTGTCCAGCAGCTTAATGTCCTCTTCCTCCAAGAGAATAATCGCTGGAACCTGGCTGAAATCGATATGATCTTGGCCCACAATACCGAGGTACGGCCCGACTCGCTCTTGGAGCGCAGTAATCCATCCGGCAACCACTTGCGCGCATTCGGCAGTGCAAAGAGCAGTCTGCATGGGCAGTTCGTGACTAGTCTTGTCCGCAAACGTAACTCCAAGCCTGTCTGACATGGATAGAGAGTCAACAGCATAAAACGAGGCTGTTCTGAGATACCTCTCGCGTCGTGGTATGCTTCGTCCCGTACCATTAACGTCCTGGCCGGTGCCGAAAGGCTTGTCGGCATGCATGCTGTTCAAGGAGCTTTGCGTTGCCGGGGAATCCATGAACCCGGGGTTTATGACCGAGTTGGACGATGGTTCTGTCCCAGATTCAGAAGAGCAGGTCGGCGATCGTGCTTCATCTTGCGTCTCAAAGCCTCGGGAAAGTTCCTCAATCATGCCATCCCAGTCTCGTTGCCAAATCTTTGCCTTGGCTGGACCAAAGTCAACAAACAACTTGACGTATGCCAGATCCAAAAGAGGAATCGCGTCTGCAGACATTGGCCCCAAGCCAAATGGATTTGGTCGTTCAATACTATGTTGCGGGTTGCTAGACCATGCGAATTGCCAAGCCTTGAGGGCAGGTTCGATGTGCGTGTGCATCTTTTCTGTTTCCATGTTGGTCCACGCCCTGTTCTGATGGCGTTGTCGCGTTTCCCAAATGTAGTTGTGCAGCGCATATATGAGCACCAAACAGCCAAACGTACTGGGCTTCAGATCTGTCAGGGGTGTATCTGCAGTGTTCATTGGTGATCCAAATTGGGGCTGGCTGTTGCCCATGGAATGTTGTCGCTCATTTGCGCGCAGGAGATCCCCCAACGAGTCGAAGAACCTTAGGCGGTTGTGGTTGGCAGCTTCAACTCCTCCCCTCGAAGCAAAGGCGGCGCTAGATTCCGCGGCGAAGAATTCTTCGTCACACGGAAGGTCGAGTGTGATCTCGGAATTCGTCAAGGCCGGGGTGTGGTTGAAGCTGGCGACGGCCATACTGGACAGGATGAAGATGACGTATACCGTGCGTTTGTGTTCCTCCATCGACTTCCACTGGAGCCACTCCCGTTGCTCATCTTGCTCAGATATGCGCGTCCAGTCTCCGGTATCAGTCATGTGAACATCTTGCTCGGTTGGCACATTGCCCTTGCCTTGGCTAATTAGACCTGACGATTGAGCGAGACTAACGAGAGATGCACAATGCGTCGACGCAATATCACTCGTCACTTTATCGGAGCAGGTGTGGCCGTATATGACGTTGAGTAGCATGGCTTGAACGAGCCACAACGGTGTGCTGGATTGAGCTTGGTTCTGTTGGGCCTTTGAGTCAGTAGAGATGGTACTCAGTCGTGTGTCGGCTCTGCGGACATCGGATTTGCGTCTCTCATCAAGATAAAAGAACACAATCTTTTTAGCCATTTCAAACAAATCTTTGGACTGAGCATGTTCCATCTCGTAAGCAGCGCCGAATGCAGCCATGGAAAGTAGCAAGCACCCATTGCCACCTGCGCCGTTGGAGCGACCTTTTGAATCAGGAGACACATCAAAGGACAGTGTAGGGAGGTGCAGAAATGGGAGATGAGGATGAAAACATGTCAAGTAGGCCCTGACGTATCTCTGGAGGTCCTGGGTACTGGGCACGTCGGTAGCCGGGTTTGAAGAGGAATTGCCGCCCGGTTGGATTTGAGGCGACAAAGGCGAGCCTAGCGAGGAAAGTGAGGGGTTTTTACGGCTACCAAAGGGCAGACAGTGGGAAAGGATAGTCACTATAGCAGTCCGGGTGGCATCTGTTATGGTTGTCACAGGAGAAGCGGCGTGGTTCCCCCCGTTGAGGGATGACGGAATTTCCTGGGCGGCGTTGAAGCCGAGGGGTGGGTTCAAGGGTTGTGAATTTATTCCAGATACGACGGACGTGCTCAACGAGCTCAGAGAAGTTGGAGGCGCGGAGAAGTACGGGTCATTGATCTTTTGAGAAGCTGGCTGAGGTGATAATGGAGCACCACTAAGGAGATCTGGAAAGACTGAACCATTTAAATCCATCGCGAACGGGTTCGGCATCTGCGGAGGTCCCATGACGGAGGGTTGCCACATGGTACTTGTCCCAGCTGGGGCCGGGTGGTTTGATCCATCTACCATAACATCGCTAATCCCACTCTGGCTCGTCGTGCTGATGGCCGACGGGCTCGATCCGTCTATCACATGCTCGTTCGTGTTGAAAGACATTTGATGCTCGAATCCTGTTACCCAGTCATCAAAGTGCTGCGTCGTAGCAACGTCGTTCAGACCTTGGCCAAACGGAGATGTCTGGTCCACGGCCATGGACTGTGGCGAGTCATTGTAGTGTAGAGCGTTGGGGTTGATTGTAGATCCCGGCCCGAAGAAGAGACCCTCAAAGTCGAACTCGGGGTTGAAGACGGCCATGGGCGGCGCCGTCCTCAGCCCACTGGCGTCAAAGTCACTGCTCCCAATCTGCGATGTCTCCAGTTTGGGGAGTGCATGCTGCAATCCCCTCTGTCCCAGAACGGCGGACATACCACCAAAGACGTGGTCCAGGTTATGGACCGGCAGTCCGACCAGGCTGGGGTGACGGCTGTGAGCCATGCCCCGCGCCACCGAGGCATTCGCAGAGGCGAGCATCTGCATCGCAGCACCGTCTACGTGGCTGATGGTGTTTGCCCTGGGGCGCATGGGAGCCGCCGCGGCACCGGATCCAGCGGCATTGACGCCGGCCACGCTGTTCTTGCGTCTGCTCTGCGCGGGAGTGACACCACTGGCAGACTCGCGTCGATTGCGAGGGCGCGAGGACGGGGTAGATGTTTGGTGAAGCTTCTGCTGGTGGCGAAGCAGCAGGTCACGACGAGCGAAGCATCGTGCGCATTCGGGGCACTCGAATGGCTTCTCCTTGGTATGGGAACGCTCATGCCTTTTCAGGTGCTCGAGGCGAGCGAAGGAGCGCTGGCAAGTTGCGCAAACGTGCGGGCGAGGCTTGTCCGTCTTGGGAGGAGGAAAGTTGGCGGACGGGGCCTTGGTGTTTACGGTGATTGTAGAAGCTAGAGCACAGGTGCGTCAAATGGTCAGCCGAATGAGTACAGAATTATCAAGCAGCACCGGCGAGGAACGGGCACAGCATGAATGTGACTGGACATGACCCGATAACGACTTGACATGCGGCAAGGCACGCCCGTGGCCGGAACAACAGGAGGGGCAGGCAGTGCAAGCAAAAGGTGTCGAAAGTGGGCTCAAGCTCACCAGAGTCGTCAGCAGCAGCAGCAGCAGCAGCAGCAGGTGGTTTGCTGGTGCCGGCAGCAGAACTTGCTGTGGTGGGATTCGACATTGTTGAAGCGCGCGACGAGAGCCTAGGGCCAGAGTCGTCCAGAACCATGGCAGGCGTGTCTTATCTCGGGAGATGAGAATGGCCGCGCGAGACGGAGCAGCGACGATTGCGAACTGCTTTTTTACTTTTTGGCCGTGTCGGACTGC